CGAATGCTGTCAACAAAATTCAGCTATGACGTCTTTCCTAGTGTTATGTAATTTCGACCTCACGTCACAATGAGACTCGAATGACGTCAACAATGTCGTGAAACAATAGATAGATGCGCAAGAAGTGGTATTTGCACCAGTTACCATACGATGTTTAAAAACGCGGTTATTTATAGACATATGTGTAATAAAATAATTTAAAACATACAAATCTGTATTTACAGATGGATCCAAGAATGGTGACGCATTCGCGCGCGCCACTGTCATTAGATGTAATGCTGTAACACCAAGACCACCAGGTAACTATAACATTTTTACGGCTATTCGGGCTGTTAAACATATTTCATGCAAATTGAGACTCTTATTAGAAATGATGAAACTATATAATGATCTTGCTTCTAGCCAACTGACTGACATTATAACGCGAAGGATGACTTGTTGATTAAAACAATGTAATGAATCAGGTGATCTTTGTCATTGAGAATCAAGAAAGTACATCTTGACTAATTTATCGTGTAGAGAGTAAACAGTTTGAGTTTGACGTTACATTTTTTCCAGCGCCGTTTAAGCTCTACTTTTCATCCAGACGCAGGTTTGAAAAATAAGGAATTAAGAAGGGCAAAGCCATATATAAATAAATAAGAGAGTAATGACATTTTGCAATATGGCTCCGGTGGATCGGAATTCTATGAGCACTTTTAAATAAAAGCACCAAAAACATTTCTTTAATCATGAGATATGTAGTGATTCTGATGACATATGTAGTAATTCTGATGACATATGTAGTATGATATGAGATATGTAGATATGAGATATGTGGTGATTCTGATGAGATGTGTAGTGATTCTGATGATATATGTAGTAATTCTGATGACATATGTAGTATGATATGAGATATGTAGATATGAGATATGTAGTGATTCTGATGAGATATGTAGTGATTCTGATGACATATGTAGTATGATATGAGATATGTAGATATGAGATATGTGGTGATTCTGGTGAGATATGAAGTAATTCTGATGACATATGTAGTATGATATGAGATATGTAGATATGAGATATGTGGTGATTCTGGTGAAATGGTCCACGATGCAATTGTGTTTGGGTCAAATTCACGTGAAGTTCGAGAAAAACTGCTGCAGGAAGGTAAAGATTTAGATTCGACTAAGGCTATAGATATATTTCCCGTTCATATGAACTTTCGGAAGAACAAGTCGAAAGTATGTCAGGGGGAACAGAAAAAGTGGATCACATTTCTCGTTCACGAAGTAAGAAGAAAGACAGTTTTTCTAGTTTCCATGGTAACAGTCACAAGGGGAGAGAACACTATGACAAGCATGATATAGGTGACAAACAGCATGGCAGGGAAACAGAACAGTGTGAAAATTGCGAATTTAGACATTTCAGTGGTCAAAATTTTCCAGCCCGAGGTGAACATTGCGATACTTGTGATAAATGGAATCATTTCGCAAGTATGTGTAAATCCAGCCAGAGAAAAGGACACTCAAAGAAACGCATTGATTGTGTTGATGAAACACCTAATGCTGCTATTACTCTCAATATTGTGAAACTATGTTATTTCACGTACATTTTCGTGATTGAAAAAAACTTTAATTAATCTTATCTTTATACTAAGAATTTGAATAAATACACTGCTTTATTAATCTCCACCTCCAGATGACCCTACCCAAACACTACTATACCTCTATTGATACCCTCTCCAAAACAGATTATACGAGTCATTGATAACACGGATTACACTTCGCCATGGAGAAACCACTCATGCATGGTAAGACAACCGAGGCATAGTTAAGCTCTAAAAATAAGACGACCCGGGTTGTAATCGGATTACCACGGCTGAGTGGTTCCCCCCATTCGGACTTGGTTGGGACCAGGGAAAACATCCGGTTAATGGTGATGTCCATTCGAAACACAAGTGATTTCAATACCAGCTTACGATAGCGTGCTTTCAACGCTCAGATAGCTCCTTGATGCAGTGGCTGCAACACGTTTTTACGTTTCTCAATATGATGTTTGCATGAGATGGAGCGTTACCTATACACAGGGAATTTTTCCTTCACTGTGTACGCATCTGTTTATCTCTTCAGCAAATCAGAAAAAAAGCTGGGAATTCACCCAAGTTGAATGATGAAAGACGAATTTTTAAGTCATTCACCATTGAGTGCATTTAAAAGTTGTAAAATATATGCTGAAAGTTGATAAAAAATCATCGCCTTTTGTGATTCACCATTCGAATGTATTTTAATGTTGCAAGTTGAATGATGAAAGATTTGTTTTTTCGATATTCGTCATTCATCAATCAAATGACGAAGCAGTTCGTCATTAACCATTTGAGTATATTCATAAGTTGTAAAATGAAAGACAAAAATGAAACAAAAATCATCGTCTTTCATCATTTGTTAGTTGAATGACGAAAAGTATAATCATTCCCCATTCGATTATATTGTAATCTTGTAAGTTGAATAACGAATGATGAAATAATTCATCATTCGCCATTAGAATGTATTTAATGTTGCAAGTTGAATGATGAAAGACTATATTTCCCGTTATTCACCATTCGTCAATCAAATGACGTAACAAAGAAAATATGATTTGATTAAAAACCTTTAAAAATTTAAACAATTCGCATAATACACTAATGTTGATGAGTATCCTAGACATCTTATGCTTAAGAATTAATAAACTTGCTTTTTCACAACAAATATACATTTAAAAAAAGTAGGGGTCATATGGTGACAAAGTCATTTCTTACACCACTCTTCATTGAACCAATTTATTTTTATACCAAATTACCCAGCCATAGGATTACAATTTTGAAACTGTTGCAAGAATCGGTGGTGGTTAAATAGACGTAGTCGGATTTAACAGGAGTTCTTTCAATTTCGATTTCATTAAAGTTGTTTTGGTATACTTTCTTTTGACCCTCATCATGTTACTAACCAGGTTTTGTCTAAGTTGTTTGAAATAATGTTCATTGCATCCAATTCTAGAGTCACACATTTATGTCTCATAAATATTCATGGTAATTCATTGACGGATGCATGGTACATCAATTTGTCACAACTCTTTGCCTGCACCGATCGTGCATGAAACCATTGTAGAAACTTGTGCACCATTTCGTGCTTCAGGGTAGTTAAATTGCGTAGTATTGTGCCAACAGTCACGCGTTACCTGGTGTGACGTACTTATGTTAATACATTTTCCACATCAAAGAACAAATACCATCACACAATAAAATATGCATCATGATCAAAATAAAATTTAGGTTAATAAAAACGATGTTGCACTTCAAACCGTATATTTGCATTTGAACATGAAAAAGCTTGGTAAAAATATTGGATATGCGCATTTGAAGAAAACGTCAATTGCAGTTATATAGGTCACCGTGCGTATTTGGTGAGTGGCTGTGTGGCTGTGTGGCTGTTTAATTTGGGTTCAAGGCGGGGAACCCCAGAAATGGACTTCACACATTGTACCAATGTGGGAAATCCAATTCGGGCTGAAGAACGCTTTAACCACTACCCCGGAACCCTTCCAGTTATATCACTGTGTGCCAGCTTAAACGGTTATAGATGAGGTTTAAGTTGACAGCCTGGATCGTGGCAAATACATGTGACAGAAATTTCTTGAGGAAATACAGTAGAAGTGCTTGACTTTAACGGACCAGTTGTCTTTCAATGTGATGTACTGTGACATTGTTAACTGGTATATTGGTAGATATAACACCATTCTATAGATGTAAACACATTTGATGATACATCTGTGAGTTTAAAGTTGATTTTGACAGCCCGGGCCAAGTCGGACCGAACACAGATGAACACCTCTGACAAATTCTGCCTCAAACACAAATCTCTTATCGTTGCGCGAGAGAACTTTCGAAGCAGCATCATCATTAAAGCGTCATCAATATTCAATACTTTCAAATCTCTGCTCAAAATTCATCTCTTCAAAAAGTCCATAGCTTGACTAAGATCTCAATCGCTATACATATGAGAATGGTAGTGATGGGCTGCATATACTTTCTGCAGAATATTCATGACGCTTTAATCATGGTGATGCTGCTTTGAAAGTTCTCTTGCCCAACGATATGAGATTTGTGTTTGAGGCAGAATGTTTTGTTGTTGAGATCATAAAGCTCTGGTGCCTTTGACAAATGATATTGAGCTACATGGAAGTCATGCTGACATAAAATTGAATCGAGGGTATAAGCCGCTTCATAGAAAATATGTGCATTATTTAAGAATACAGCTGTCATATTGCATTTTTACGGCTATTCAGGCTGTTAAACATATTTTCCGTGCAAATTGCGACTCTTATTAGAAATGATGAAACTATATAATGATCTTGCTTCTAGCCCACTGACATTATAACGCAAAGGATGACTTGATGATTAAAACAATGTAATGAATCAGGTGATCTTTGTCATTGAGAATCAAGAAAGTACATCTTGACTAATTTATCGTGAAGAGAGCAAAACAGTTTGAGTTTGACGTTACATTTTTTCCAGCGCCGTTTTAGCTCTACTTTTCATCCAGACGCAGGTTTGACAAATAAGGAATTAAGAAGGGCAGGGCTATATATAAATGAATAAGAGAGTAATGACATTTTGCAATATGGCTCAGGTGGATCGGAATTCTATGAGCACTTTTAAATAAAAGCACCAAAAACATTTCTTTAATCATGAGATATGTAGTGATTCTGATGAGATATGTAGTAATTCTGATGACATATGTAGTGATTCTGATGAGATATGTAGTAATTCTGATGACATATGTAGTATGATATGAGATATGTAGATATGAGATATGTAGTGATTCTGATGATATAAGTAGTGATTCTGATGAAATATGTAGTATGATATGAGATATGTAGATATGAGATATGTAGTGATTCTGATGAGATATGTAGTGATTCTGATGACATATGTAGTATGATATGAGATATGTAGATATGAGATATGTGGTGATTCTGGTGAAATGGTCCACGATGCAATTGTGTTTGGGTCAAATTCACGTGAAGTTCGAGAAAAACTGCTGCAGGAAGGTAAAGATTTAGATTCGACTAAGGCTATAGATATTTCCCGTTCATATGAACTTTCGAAAGCACAAGTGGAAAGTATGTCAGGAGGAACAGAAAAAGTGGATCACATTTCTCGTTCACGAAGTAAGAAGAAAGCCAGTTCTTTCTAGTTTCCATGGTAACAGTCACAAGGGGAGACAACACTATGACAAGCATGATAAAAGTGACAAACAGCATGGCAGGGAAACAGAACAGTGTGAAAATTGCGAATTCAGACATTTCAGTGGTCAAAATTTTCCGGCCCGAGGTGAACATTGCGATACTTGTGATAAATGGAATCATTTCGCAAGTATGTATAAATCCAGCCTGAGAAAAGGACACTCAAAGAAACGCATTGATTGTGTTGATGAAACACCTAATTCTGACTCAGACTTATTCATTGATACAGTGTCTAATGGAAATGAACATATGGACCAAGCCTACACTGAAGTTTTGATCGGACACCAGAAGATTCCTGTTCATTTCAAGTTAGATACAGGTTCAAAGGTCAACACCATACCAGCTAGCACATTTGAAGCTAAAAGTTTGAAGTACCCCCTGAAACAAACTAATGTCAAGCTACAAGGTTATGGGGGTAAATACATCAAGGTCAAAGGTCAATGTAACATGAAGGTCTACAACAGACATTCAAGTATGTCGCTTGATTTCTTCATTGTCGAAACTAAGGCTCCGCCTGTTCTTAGTTTACGAACTTGTTTGGATCTGAAACTTGTCAAATTGATCCTAGCAGTCGACTCACAGCCTTCGTCGTCAGGTATGACTCAGGACTCAGTTCGCAGAAGTTTTCAAAGGAATAGGCAAACTCAAAGGTAAATGTAAGCTACATTTCAAGCCTGATGTAACTCTAGTTATACATGCACCTCGACGTGTTGCATTTGCCATAAAGGACAAGGTGAAAGTAGAGCAAGATCGAATGGAGGATCTCGGTGTCATTGCCAAGGTCACGAAGAGCACAGCCTGGGTCAACTCACTAATTGTAGAGAAACCCAAAACTGGTCAACTACGGATATGCCTCGATCCCAAGGATCTCAATCAAGCCATCATTAGACCTCACTACAGAATGCCGACTTTTGAAGATGTAATTTCACAACTTGTCGGAGCCAAATATTTCAGCGTTTTGGACGCCAGGTCTGGATACTGGTCCATACAAGTAGATGCAGATTCGTCACTATTGACAACTTCAACAGTCCGTTTGGCCGATATGGTTTTCTATGCTTACCTTTTGGGATCAACTCATCACAAGATGAATTCCAGCGCAGAATGGATGAGATCTATGAGAACCTCGATGGATTCAATGTGATCGTCGATGACATTCACGTGCATGGACAGTCAACGGAGGAACATGATCGTCGTCTGAGGGTGATGTTCAAGTGTTCCAGTGAGAAAGGCATTCATCTGAACCCAGAGAAAACAGTGATTGGAGTACATGAAGTGAGTTACTTTGGTCACATCCTCTCTGCTGATGGGATCAAGCCCGACGCTAAGAAAGTGGATGCCATCCAGAAAATGGAAGCACCTAAGGATCAATCAGAGTTAGTTCACACCTTGTCTCTCAGAGATAACTTTCCCTCTGCGAGATATGTTGAAACAAGATAATAGGTTTCAATGGGACAGCAATGCGCAGATTGCCTTCAAGAAGATGAAGAATGCTGTAACCAGTACAGATTTCTTGGCCTACTATGATCCGAAGAAGGAGCTCACTCTTCAAGTGCATGCATCACAAAATGGTTTGGGAGCTGCTGTTCTCCAGGAAGGAAGACCAGTTGCATATGCGTCCAAGTCACTCACCCAGACTGAGTGTAACTATGCTCAGATCGAAAAGGAGATGTACGCCATCTAGTTTGCCTGTAAGAGATTTCATCAATATCTCTATGGGAGGAAGGCGAGAGTTGAGAGCGATCACAAGCCGATTGAAATCAGCATGAAGAAGTCACTAGCTGTTGCTCCACCCAGGCTACAAAGGATGTTATTGCAGTTACAAAAGTATGATATCACAGTGGTTCATCATCCAGGAAAGAGTATTCCTCTATCGGATACACTGTCTAGAAAGTTTGTGACAAACAGTGATGATGACAATCTCAGTGATGGAGCTGAAATGCAAGTACATATGGTACTCACAACTGTGCCAGTGAGTGATGAAAGGATGTCCGAGGTGAGGATTCCAACACAGCAGGACCCTGTGTTAACAAAGTTGAAGTCAATTGTGAAACAAGGATGGCCAGACAAACGAAGAAACTGCCCTTCATCTATCCAACATCTCAGAGAAGGATGATATTCTCTTCAGCGGAGAGAGGATAATAGTGCCAGACAGGATGGAGTGCCTCAGGAAGTGATATCAGATAATGGCACTCAATACACAGCCGAGGAATTTGTTAACTTCACAAAGTGTTGGGGTTTCAAACATTCAACGTCTAGTCCTCACTACCCGCAGACTAATGGTTTGGCTGAGAAAGGTGTGCAGATAGCCAAACGTCTGTTCGACAAAGTACCAGCTGATAACAGAGATCCAAGACTCAGCTTGTTGGAGTACAACAACACTCCCATCGGACATGTATAGCCCTACAAGATGTTAATGGGACGTCGTCTTCGTTCAACACTTCCAGTGACGTATGAAGAAATGAAACCTAAAACTGTTGATTCTGAAATCGTACAGAAGCAGATTGCTCAGTCAAAACTTCAACAGAAACAGAACTATGACAAGTCCGCGAAACAATTCTCAAAAATCAATATCAACGAGCCAGTGCGAGTTGGCTTCCAACAGAAACCCTGTAGAAACCAGCCACAGTGATCAGCAAAAGCCAACATGACCAGGATAGGTCATACATCGTTCAGACCAACGATGGTGCTTAATACCGTCGTACACTTGTTATCAACCAGTGACAAACTCAAATCTGCTGTCAATCAAACTTGTGAAACCAAGCCTGAGACAAATGAGCAGAAAGTAACCAGCACACCAATCAAGACAGCAAATCCGAGTGTGAGTTCAAGTCCATCACAGAACTTAGCACACATCACCAGGAGTGGTCGATCTGTGAAGCCTAAGGTCATGCTAGACCTATTTTCATTTGACAATTGTTTAGTTAAATTGATTTGGTCAACATATCTGATTTTATTGTCAAGCCAGAAAAGGGATTTCAAGCAAATGTGCTTTCTGTTTTATTTCATTGCAGTTTGTATTAATGTTGACGAACATATAATTCAGCTTTTCTATGAGTAGAACTGTAACGTCTAACTTTAATTTTTGAGAAGGGAGATGTAGTGATTTGTGGCAAATCTGCCAGGTTTTATGAGTGCTTCATAATCAGTATGCTATGTAGGGTCCCTAACCCCCCCCACCCCTCCAAAATGGAGGATTAAACTAGATTGCTCCAAGACAGTGAGTCTATCTTTAAAAGATACAAGAGTTACATTGTGATTGAAGATAACCCACAGAACATTACAAGCTATGGCTGCTGAGTGCAGAGTTGATTGTATGATTCCACCTATATAAACGTGTGAAACACTATCTAATCGTGTTCGCGAAAAGGCGAGCGTAACCTGTCCCAGCGCTGAGAACATAAACATTTATACGAAATGTCAGTTTCATGGAGGCCATATGTATAATCGGAGGAGAAATAATAAATACTGTGACACAAGAGAAAAGGGAGTATGTAAAAGTCCACCTTTTAACATGTTCCAATTTAAATATGCAAAACCATAAAATTTGGTATTCCGGATATGGGATATACGAGTACTTGCTGCATACACAATTCCATAATAATACATTTTAACAAGCATGAATTTCTCATATCCCCCGCCAATATGACATGTCCGGTTGTGTGCAATGCATGAGCTCCTGTGAACTATGTTCACTGGGCCTTTTTGTAAATGGCCTAATTGCAGCACTAAAAAAAGGTTATTACTGGTGTTGTCTTGCCATCTGTAGTATATGATAGAATATGTAACTGTATTTGTAATGAGTAAGGATGAGACATATGGACGACCAACTTCTTTTAACAATTACTAGTGATGGATTCGGTGTAGGTTCTAATACTGTTAACAAGCCAGTGAAGTACAGAGTATGGTTGACAAGAATATATACAGGGTAGGAGGCAGTGTTTATACAATTAAGTAGGTTTAAGATCAATTACGCTGTAATGGGCTCCACATGATGAACAAGTATGCCAAAATATGCATGTACCTCAACTGATGTAACCCTCTCGTCAGCGTGAAGGACAACGCTGAGCAATCTTCGCCTCTTCCTGAACGTGGAAGACAACACTGATGAATACACGTAGACACACCTCGTTTTAGAAGAAGTACCTGAAGAACTGTCCTGCTTGACACACACCTCTGCCAACGATAATGACTCCACTGATTGAAGAACGCCTATACAGTTTCCCCTCACACCCCGGGCGCGATAGTCCTACAGTTTGATATGCACCAGCCTGTCTCCTCTTCGTGACGAGAATCCGCGAAACAGTCAGGTACACACTGGTTTACACCATCACATGCCTACTTATCATGTTACTGTTGATCTAGAACTTGATGTTTTATCTGTCATTTATCATGTTAACATATGTCCAGCATAATACTTATTGAAATCATTACTAAGGTATTGAATGTTTGAGCAAGAATCGTATAACCATCTTTGACATGTTTGTAGAAAGAACATTCTCAATTGTTCCTGAAAGTCAAATGCTGAAACTGCTAAAAAAGGGAAAATGGAAGTCATCCAAATGGGGTTTAACGTCGCGTCCAAGATTGCACTTACATATTCTATCATATACTGCAGAGAGCAAGACAACACCAGTAATAACCTTTTTTTAGTGCTGAAATTAGGCCATTTACAAAAAGGCCAAGGAACATAGTTCACAGGAGCTAATGCATTGCACACAACAGGACATGTCATATTTGCGGGGGATATGAGTTATTCATGCTTGTTAGAATGTATTATTATTGACTTGTGAATGCAGCAAGTACTCGTATATCCCATATCCGGAATACCAAATTATATGGTTTTGCATATTTAAATTGGAACATGTTATAGCCACGTGCATGAACGTGTTGGTTTGTCTGCTTGTACGAGTCCAGACTGATGCCGATGTGTCATGCTCGCTCACTGCGATACCATGCTACAGTTCAACATGAATACTTGAACACACTTTAAACGGACACCAAGCTGACCAGTCCTTGTTTTAGACCCTTCATGCCCAGCGACAGACAGGGTAACAGCAAGTACCATCTTTTAACGTCTTTTGGTGGTACGCGACCGGGGATCGAAACCCTGACCTTTCGCTCGCCTGATGGACACTCTACCACTCACATGCGGTCTCATCCCTCTTTTCATTCAGTCTCGTCATAGGGTCAACATATTGTGTATGTAATGCTTTATCATGTACATGGGATATACAAGTATCATACATCGCACTTACGGACCAACGTCACTTGGGCGATTGATCCTGATAAATAATACAAATGGGCAATTTATATATATTTCCACACCACACAGGGCAAGCTCACAGCCCAGAACTGAATGTTGACAGAAATACAGCTATTCATGATAATGTTTCAATGAATTTCCGTTTACTTTCGACCATGTCTCTTCAGGGGCATGAAGAAACATCCTTTGAACTGTTTAATGTTTGCAAAGGCAGAACAACCTTCAACTCAGTCATGAATATTCTGTATTCACTGAGACTGGTCTTCTATTTTCACTATGACCGAATTCACAAAAATCACTGAGATAACCATTTCTACGAACAAATAGTCATGTCCACGTTGGTTTTGGTAACGTTTTAATTATTCTTTCAAGGCTCATACGTGTTACAAACTGATCCTCTTATGAGTTCACGTAATGCGGACAATCAGTTGTTCAGATCGAAGGGGAAACAAGAAACAAGATATTTCACACATTGAATACCCTAATTGTTAAAACTTTTTGTGAAGTTGTCGACCGCGAAATCTAATTATGTCATTACAAACGTAAAGCCTTGAAACATAAATTGGCACTTAAGGGCAAGTAACCAAAATACGTAATGTCAATAAAATGCGTTATCAAACATTTGAATATGATAATATACAAAATCAAGTATTCTTGAGCTCTACGTGACCGTTGTAGGAAGCATACACGATGGTCATGTGACAATACTTATATAGTTGTGAAAATGATGTGAAATATACATGTATTTACCGAATCATCAAAACGTCAAGCACAAAGAACACTCTCTGAACGAGTGAGTGAGCGAGTTAGTGAGTATGGTTTTATGCATCTTTTAACAATATTATATTAGCAATATCACGGCGGGGGACACCAGAAATGGTCTTCACACATTGTATCCATGTCGGGAATCCATCCCGGGTCTTAGGCGTGACGAGCAAAAGCTTTAACCACAAGGCTACCCGACCGCTCCCTCTCCGAACGTGCAAACAAATATTGAGGTGGTTACAGATGCAATCTGTGATGCATTAAGCCCGTTAATTGCCTCATGACAGTCACCGTCACCGACTGGCTAAACTTCCTTCACGTCCATAGAGACGTCTCCTCTCTCCAATCGCAGTCGGCAATGTCAAAGTCATTCTCTGTTATACCTTGTAACATGGATTCCAAGACTCGCAATCTCCTGGACACTGTTTGTCAACTCTAGAAGCTAAGGTATGGAAGCTCATAGCGCTTTTGGGCGGCAATACCTGCTACGGATGATAAGAATTCTGCTGCGCTACAAAATTAAATTTGGGGCCACATATCGAGTAGAAGAGGTCAAGTAAATGAGGTCGAAGTGTAGTATATATAGCGCATACTTACAAATATAACGCATGTCACAAGGGCTCCCGTATCCACGGCCGTACGGACTCTACGGTAAAGTAGCTCAGGGTTATACGAAGTGTTCTCGAGCCGGATGGTCTCTGACACACACCCAGTCAGCGCCAGATAAGCGTCACTCGGCCACCCCCCTTCAAGCACACTGTAGGACCCGTGGAATCTGGTCGTAAGTAAGTATATTTGGATTATGTATGACACAATATTCCCACAGATACAATACATCGGCGATGGGGTAGCCTCATCACGCCGAAGACACCGAGATCGATTCCTCACATTGATACAATGTCTGAATGCCATTTCATGTTTTACGTCTTACAAAAGATCAATCTGTCTGGCAAGTTGAGAACTCATATTCCTGCAAAATAAAAATATATTTGTCTGACTGTCTCTAACAACTAGGATACTTTGAATAGATGGTGTGGGTAAATAATGTTTGGTGAGTTATTAATTTGCATAGTTATATAAAAAATGAATTGTTCTTAATGTGAAACGAGTAAGCATAATTAAGAATAATACCTTTTATTCCGTTTCGATTCCATAACACTGCATTTATTTTTAAGGGGATTAGGTTTTACAAGTCTAAAGATAACCTAGACATATGACCTCTGGCATAATAGCATACATATCTATATTCAGTATAGTTGTTCCCCCAGTATAGTTGTTCCCCTATACATGAAATATAGGATCTGAGTCCTTATATACATTCTCGATCATTCCTAACGGATTTATCCATGTTTTGTTATCCATTTGAATAACTTTCTTGGCTAGCGCCTTCTCCATCAGTGAGACCCACATCTCACTGTTGCCGGAACCAGAGCCAGCACTCACCAGGAACCTGGAACCGTCATGGACTGGCATGAAGTCGTCGATGTAGACGTCCTCCCATACCCCCAGTCTCCACAGCAGACAGTGGAAGACACCATCAGTCTTAGGAGTATAGGACCTCTCGCTGACCACTTAGCAAACAGCCTGCCACTAATCATAAAATGATTATGAAATTCAGTGCTTCCTGTTGATAGTGTATTTCGCTATTGCCCATAGGGGAGAGAATGGGCTATTATGCCCGATGTCATTCCATGATATTTGGTAACGACTGTATGGGGACTTCTCAGCGTGAGCTATTATGCCCGAGGTCATACCGTGAAATTGTGGGGAATGATTGTGTGCGGACGTGTCAGCGTGAGCTATTATGCCCGAGGTCATTCCGTGAATTTGTGGGGAATGACTGTGTGGGGGCTTGTCGGTGTGGGCTAGTATGCTCGAGGTCCTTCCATGTTTGTTTGGGAATGACTATGTGGGGACTTGTCAGCGTGAGCTATTATGCCGGAGGTCATTCCGTGAATTTATGGGGAATGATTGTGTGGGGTCTTGTCGGTGTGGACTATTAATAATTAATGATCACTTAATCTTAGTTTATAAATGTGCACTCGATATTGTCTTATTTCACAGTGACTGAGAGATACATGTTCTAATTTTATTTCATTTTAAACTATCATGTATGTCCAAAGTTTGTTTCCTGTGCCTTTAGTTACATTAGCATCTGAAGAGTTTTCCTGAAGAGAGAGTTAAATTTAGACTTTATTGTCTCTTTGAATGTTGGTGATAGGAAATCTGAATTAGATTGGATTGGTATACCCATCCTACTCTATTGACCAATCATTTTCCACCACTCATATCTATCCGTAACTATTATTTTTGTAAAACCATGGTCCAAGTATTCATTTCTTCCGTTTTACTTGATTTGCCAAACACTACAACATTTTGGGGCGGAGTGGGCAAGCAGTCAAAGCGCCAGTCTTGCAAGCGCAAGGTGTAGAGATCGTATCCCGCTTGTGACCAGGTTGTTATTCAGCCTTAGGACCAACAATGTTTACATGTCTTTAAAGTGTTGTGACTACCCCTAGTGTACAGAACATACGCCCTGTTCACTCACAAAACCTACTCGCCCGATGGTAGATGACCAAATGGTCCAAACACGAATACGCACATACACCCTAGTGTCAACCTGGACAAGTGACTTAGTTCAAATGTGCCTTTGTTCAACCAGCTGGGAATGGGTACCCGATATGTGAAAGTGGATGTTAAAACCTCTAGCGCCCCTAGACAGCTTGGATTGTATGTTCCCAAAAGGGAGTTTGGAATGATAGTTGGAATGCGATTCTTTGGAAAAGGCCTATTTACAGCCTCAGACACATCGAGGCCAACAAACCTGATCTTGTCCTTCTTGATAAATCCAATGAAATCATTTATATCATTGAATTTTCTGTCCCTTTTGACACTAATGTCATTGACAAGATTGAGCAAAAACATGGCAAATATGCGGACCTCGCTTTTGAAATGTCACTCTTGCATCCATAGTACCAAGTTTTCCGACTCTCCATTGTTCTCGGTGCCCTAGGTTTGGTACCCCCCAATCTATTGACTGATATGGGGAGAGCACCCGTGTTTGCTACCAGGAATACAACCCTTCTG